GAGTAATCCCCAGTCAGTCTGCCGGGTGGCGTTAATCGTAGTAACCGTCTAGTGCCAAAAAGTAATCGATTGTTTTTCTGACAATTAATTACACACGATACAATTACACCCAACGCTATTACAGGCTGAGTCATTTCTACCTTCTCCTCTCTGTCAACGCTCTCTGGTTTCATTTAAAAGAGTCGATCATCAGATATCGGTTGTATCCAAAACGACAGGCCGGGTCCTCCGAAGGCCGAATTTGTCGGCCGCATCGGAGGAGTCTTCGGGGTTGGACGGCCTTCGTCGCGGCGCTGTGAGGTATGCGGCCGACAAATTCGGCCTTCGGAGGACCCGTCCTGCCGTTTTGGACACAGCCAATATCTGATGATCGACTCTTTTAAATGAAACCAGAGAGCGTTGACAGAGAGGAGAAGGTAGAAATGACTCAGCCTGTAACTGAAAATATAGATGGAGGACAACAGAGCTGCTTCATTGAAGAAGAACCTTTTCGGGAAGCTCCTCATCTTAGCCTGTTAGATTTAGTGTTAGCCCTGACGCTATCACCATATATATGTATTAGCTCAGCGCTACACATTCTCCTTTCATCAATGAGGTCCTCCATCCACATGACAGAGAGGTACACAAAAATGACACAGCCTGCAACTGAAAATGTGGATGGAGGACCTCAGTTTAGCTTGTTAAAATGTTGCGCTAACGCCAAGCTAATACGTATAAGGCAATATACCATTGGTGCTAAAGCTAAACCTAACAGACTAAGCTGGGGCTCTTCCTTCAAGAAGCAGCTCTTTTGTCCAGAGCTGCTTCCAGAGCATATCCAGGGGTGAAGAAGTAGTTTTTGCTTATATTAAAAACAAATTGGCTCTGGCTCATATTGTTCTCTCTCGCCCAATGCATGCAATTTAATCAGCAAATTCCAAACAAACTAAAACTTATCAATACTCTACTGTACTGTACTTGTATCCCAATGTAAGCAGCATATTTTATTTATTTATTTTTTGTCTGTGCACCACCTGTGTAAAATGTCCCAGACCATTAAATCGAGCGCACAAATCCCCACTGTGTTTTAGAAGTGGACGCGCATGTGCACTGTATCAAGTCTCCTGTCATAAGTTCTGAACCAGACCGGACCGCACTGCCTCACCCCTGCTTGTTTCCCCGTCACTCTGGACTCCGGTGTGTGTGTTTGAAGTGTGCTGACTCAACTCGGGCGGGAGCGACAACCAGGAAARGGGGGAATGGGAGGGACAAACCCACTACCCCTTGCTTCAACAGGAGCAGAGTTAAGCTTGTCATTCGGAAAGAAAGGCAAGCCCAAAATAAGCAACTCACGTTCAAAAATAAGCCCAAAAAACCCGCGATTCAAAATAAAAAATTTTTTACAACGAAACAGCCTAAAGTATTTTCATAGTCTCTATTTTACAGTTAAAATATATGTTTATCGAATAAATGTTACAARGAATCGAGGATCCCTTTAACACTGGTAACATTACAAAACATTACTAAAATTACCAACACAAACYTGAAGGTTTATACTGATTTTAAAAGTACTGCCTCTCTTTCAGGGCAGTTCTCTGGGATTAACTTCTACTTGTGTGAACTACATATTTTAGCCTTGGTTCCTGTGGTCCAAACAGAGGGAGGTTTGAGATGGGCATACCTCATAAAAAATATACCTTGGTTCCTGGAAAAACAGCTCTTACAGTGCACCTAAAGTCATGACCAGTGTAACAATAATAATAATAATAATAATAATAATAAT